ATTTAAATGTCTAGGTGTAAATCTAGATGAAAAATTAAGTTGGGAGAAACATATTGATTCTGTATGCCATAAGATTAGCGCTGGAATAGGAGCAATAAAAAGAATAAAACCTTATGTTCCACACAAAACCTTACATGATGTCTACAAAACATTAATTCAGCCTCATTTTGATTACTGTTCTCCCCTGTGGGATAACTGTGGTTTGGGACTTCAAGACAAATTGCAAAAATTCCAAAATCGACCACCAAGGGTGATTACCGGAGCTGACTACGATGTAAGATCGTCTGAAGTCCTAAACAAATTAGGCTGGGAAACCCTGGCTAGGAGACGAGAACAAAACAAGCTAGTATTGATGTATAAAGTCTTTGGGAACCACACTGCGCCAAACCTTAAAGATCTTTTTTCTCGGAGAAATGCATCGCAGAATATTTATGATTTACGCAATAGCGAAACTGATCTCTCGTTAAAAAAACCGAAAACGGAATTTCTAAAGAAAACATTTGGATACAGTGGAGCAATTCTATGGAATAGTCTCCCGCAAGATGTCAAGGCGGCTGAGTCAATTACGTCATTTAAAACAATGACGAAATTGCATTTAAGCAGATGATAAGCTAATTTCTCCAGGACCAAATGATGGGAGGACAATATAGATTGTGGGCGGGAGGGGGGTTAGTTTTGCGTGAGGGTGGGTGGGTGGGTACTTGTTTAGGGGGTGGAGGTTTGGGAGGAAGATGATAATATTTTAGGGTGGGATTCTTACATATTTTGTTCTATATATAATTAACATTTAGCTCTTTGTGTGTATACGCCCTTCGTGGAAACCAGTTGTAAATAATTGTCGAAGTTAGCGTATTGAAATAAAGTTTTACATACATACATACACTTGAAACTCCCCAGAACGCGGGTTGTATGCGTTTAACCACCAGTGTGTCCTTGATATATAAAGTAGTATAGGATCAAAATAAGTAAATAAAACCAAATTTAAATGCATGATACCAGCTATAGACTAAATTTCGATCAAGGCAAGAAGAGCAAAATCCATCACCACAGCAAGAAAGGGTGTGTTACAATTAGCACAATTGCAAAGTTTGGAATGTGGAAAATATAGCCTTGCGAAATTTGCAAATTTTGTATTAATTTGTATTACGCGCGGGAAAATGTACCACATTTCCAGTGGCCGAAAGCACAGGGAGCCCAAGCGTTGGTCTGTGTCTGTATCTTTTTCAGTTTTTTTTTATTTTAGTGTCTTTATATTGCTTTTTAATTTAATTATAAACTACATTACAATAATATGTTGTATAATAATAATACTCCTGTAGTCGAACATATAATAACAACACTGCCGTCTGCCGAAGCATTCATCTAAGCTAAGTTTTGTCGTATTTCGGTCAAGAAAACAAACAATGAGATCGATGAGAGTCAAGGAATCGAAGTCAATTTTTTTGAAAATCCTAGTCAATCTTATATCCGATGTGGAAACTCTTCGAATTCTTTACTGGAGGGATTAAACTGGCACCAGTTAACTATTAATCGCAAAAAGCTTAAAGGAATTCTTATGCATAAAACTATAAACAAGAAAGTACCAGAATATCTATACAAGACATATTTACCTCGCGATCTTGTAACAATAAAAATACAATATTTGTCACTAAGCCACGTACATACAGATTATCTAAAGCGTTCACTCAGCTATGATGGAGCTGTTTTATGGTGAATAGTCTCTTAGTGCTAATTTCAAACGAGGTCTAGAATGTTGGTTGGCTTAGTCTCACACACGGCAATCATGAAAAACAGCACTGTTCTGTTTTTTTTTGTAAATAACATTTGTATTTTTTCCTCCTTTTCCTTTTTTTTCCATACTTTTTTTTAATATTAACTTTATTAACATATTTTGCCTCAAAAGCCAAGGCTTATCAAGAAGGCCGGCTCACATTTAATTTATTTACAAAAATGTTTTTATATAAAAAAGAGTGTTTACAAAAATACAAACACAAAAAGATACAATTAGTTACAACCAATATAACAAAGAGGAAGACAGACACAATTGAGTCATAATGGCTAAGAGAAACGACAAGTATCCAGAATATACCATTGAACTATACCAAATTTTCCAAACTTTATATACATCTATATTAATGTAAATATTTACTGATGATTCTACCGTTTCAAAATAATAATAATACTACTACTGTGCTTACATGTCGCATACAGGCACAAAGACGTACTGGTGCTGCCAAAGATTTAATGGGGCATGCCCTACCACGCGTTCTGGGAAGTATCCATTTAACTGTGGTCGTTTGCTTCTATATAAATAGCAGAAACAAAGAATTATTCTATATAATTTAGGGGATCATTCACTGCATGTGGGGTTTTCATCCCAGGCCTGACTGAAATTTCAAGGAGTCTAATCAACTCCAAAAATGTTATTCTGTAATCGTTTTTGGTTACAGAATAAAACTTTTTGAGTTGATTCAACTCCTTGAAATTTACATTGTGGCAACTTTCATCACGGGACGAATTAGAAGTCACTAATGAAATCTCAGCCCGGCCCAACCCGGCCTGAAACGATCAAATTTCAAAATGGAGTTACAGTACATTCCGCTTCTTCGAAAAATTTAAATTGTTGAGTGGGTTACGACAATCCGGATATAATCTAATTACTATATCTTATATGCACTCTAAAGATGCACGTTTGTTGCAACTCCAATATTTTTTATATATTTTAATGAAGACATATGAAACACAGTAATAATTCATGAGGAAAACACAAAGAAAAGGGTGTCGTATCTTTATATGCGATAGAGATTTCCCTTGATTTACATTAGCTTAACTTTGATTTTCTCGACTTACACAACGTATTTTTTGAAAATTACTTCGCCAATGAACTTACTAGATCGATCGTTTTTGAAGCAATTTAAAACATTCGCAGTGCGTGTTTTATCAGACCTAAAGATACTCGGCTTCGCCTCGTATCTTTATATCTGAGAAAACACTGCTGCTCATGTTTTAAATAGTACTTGAGAAAGTAATCACAATTGTTGTAAAAAAAACAGTCCATGCACACAGCTGTGGTCCGGGCTAAGTAAGTGGCATAGGTAATTGTAATACTCGATGTAATTGGTCCCTAAAAAGCCCAATGGGAGTGAGCTGAACTAACGTAACCACTGATATCTAAAATAAAGCCGGTTTTCCACTTCAACCGTATCGTAACGTACCATTTTCTTTTGAGTCAAAGTCATTGGTTCCACTCTAGTGGTCAGGAAACAAAGAAATACGCTATACGCTTCGCTACGATTGAAGTGGAAAACCGCTTAAGACTGGCTAAAAAACTCAACATAAAGCATCTGCTGTGGACAAGTTAAGCCAATAGCGGCTATATATTGGATGGCCACACCCAGTGACGTAGCCAGAAGGATAATTGGGGGGGGGGGGGTGGCCATATTCATATATTCGTGTTCTGCTTAATTAATTTCTTTTGAAATCAATTGTTTTTATGGTATGTGAACACGAATATATAAATATGCCCCCCCCCCCTCAATTATCGTTCTGGCTACGCCACTGGCCACACCTGAATCTAATCTGGTATTCGGTGGACATGTTTAACTCTGCCTTCACGTTTCTATCTTCCTTATCTGGCACCGTAACTTTCATACATGATTTTGGAATAACCAGGAGATTACTGATCTTACATCATGTAAAGGAGGTTGTTGATTCACTAGCATAATATGAACACGTGCTTGCCTACATGGCTGGCGGTGTATATAAGGCATTACTAATGTCTATACTGTTTATACACTGTATAGCCGTAAGAAAAATAATTTTTATAAACATTGTGTACAATAATAAACTTACATTACTCCGTTGTTTAATAAAAGTTGCTGAAAGCCATTGGAGAAAGGGTGGCACTGGTTGGCTTCCCCAATAGCTTCTGTGCAGAAATATCTATATAATAAAGTAAGTGATATATACGGATTAATAAAATAATGGAATTATAAATTTGTCCGTATGATATTGTTCTTTATTGCATGGCATTAATATTTGATGTAGAACGTTATGCATGCATGGTAACTTACCTTAGCAACACGTCGACGATGGTGTCGCTAACCCACTCATTTGTGCCGAGTGTTGCCATGTCTGTATTGTATACGGCGTATCCACCATAACGTGCCACTCTATATCAAATCACACAGGTATAGATACATGTCAATGGCATGAGCTTGATAATATAAATAACTGTAATACATGCCGTAATCGGTCATTGAATAGCCCCAATGAAAAGTCATCTGAACAATATATGTTACTTCCATCTTTATATTTCTGCTTTCACCCTGGAATAAAATGGATAGTAAGTGCTGAAAGGGTAGGACTGGAGAACGAAATTTAACACCAAAGCGAGAAAAAGCGTCTTAGAATGAGTAAAACTGCAGAGATTGGTTGCTAACTGTTGTAAAATAAAAAATATATAGCTCTGTGAAGTTCGCAAATTTTGACTGTACATAATTTTATTACGCGCGGTAACACTTTCGGCTCAAATGTCGAGTCATTTTCCCGCGCGTAATGCAAATATATATATACAAAATATGGTAATTTTGCAGGGCTATATTTTCCTTATTTTACAACTATTCGCGACCAACCGACTTTACAATTTTACTTATTCTAAGATGTTCTTTCCAGAATGGATTTCGTTTTTTATATATTCAACTTTCAATTAAACTATGAAAAGTTTGTCTTTGTATATTTGTCTTGCTTGTACAACCTCGTACCCAGGCTCTTTCCACTACGAGGCGCGTTGTGTAAAGAGCCTGGATACGAGGTTGTTACTATTACTTGCTTGTATCAATCAATCAATCAATCAATCAATCAATCAATCAATCAAAAACTTGCAATCAGAAACAACAAATCTTATTTGTTGGTTTTGTAAATAAATTTTAAGTAGCAAAATAGTGTATACGTTTTACAATTACAAAATCAAAGCTTGCTGTCGATTTTTATAATTTTACCTTTTTCTTCTGGTCCTCCGCAGCATCGTCAGAACTTATGACGATTATCTAGAAAGTAATTCAACATTTATCAGTAAAAATTGAAAGCTTGTCTTTAGTGTATTTGTTACTGTTTTTTATCATTTTACCTCCTTCTCCCTGGGATCGATGTTCTTCTCCTCCTTCTTCTCTTCCTTAACATCCTATACATAGAGTTGCAATAAAAAAGTAAAAGTTTGTATTTGCATAGGCCTATTTGCATTTGTTATTAGTTTTCAGATGAAATAATGGTACGATGTACCATTAAAGTGGTCGTCAAGTTCTCACAGCGGATGTGTATTTTGATTACACTTTTTTATATACTCAACTATGAAAAGTTTCTCTTTGTATATTTGTCTTACTTGTACATCCTCGTACCCAGGCTCTTTCCACTACGAGGCGCGTTGTGTAAAGAGCCTGGGTACGAGGTTGTTACTATTACTTGCTTGTATCAATCAATCAATCAATCAATCAATCAATCAATCAATCAATCAATCAATCAAAAACTTGCAATCAGAAACAACAATAAATTTTAAGTAGAATTCAAATTCAAAGCTTGTTGTCGATTTTTATAATTTTACCTTTTTCCTCTGGTCCTCCGCAGCATCGTCAGAACTTATGACGATTATCTAGAAAGTAATTCAACATTTATCAGTAAAAATTGAAAGGTTGTCTTTAGTGTATTTGTTACGTTTTTTCTCATTTTACCTCCTTCCCCTCGTTCTCTTTCTTCTCTTCCTTAACATCCTATACATAGAATTGCAATAAAAAAGTAAAAGTTTGTATTTGCCTATTTGCATTTGTTATTGGTTTTCAGATGATGAAATACCATTAAAGTGGTCGTCAAATTCTCACTACGGACGTGCATTTTGATTACATTTTAAAGATACTATGTTTATAAAATAGGATGCACTTGGTTAATATACAGGTGATCATGCAATAGCGAGTACAATTAATCCCTAATTGTACGAGCAACATCGCATGATTACTTGTTTATTATTAGCATATGACAAAATTGAATACTTCTCTGTCAACATCATATTCTCTCACCAAAGTCCAATCCTGCCAGACTTTCAACCAAAATTTAGTACTTGTGTTCGTAATTTCATTTAGTTGGTTTTTTTTGTTAAAGCAAAATTTGGTGCTTTTGCGCAACGTTCCTTCTCGAGGATCACAGGCTTGGGGAACGAGTTTGGTGCTTTTGCTCGTATTTTCATCCAGTTCCTCAATGGCAACATTTCACATTTGTGTTCAAAATACCTGTACTGCAGTACCATTAATGAAATAATCGTACTCATCTAGTAATTTTGACATGCTAATAATAAATTATCTAACATCTTTCCAGTTCGCTTTGCTTTTAAATAAATACACTCATATTAGAGTTTCAATTCAGAAGATATCGAAGCAACGCGAAATCTGCATGGATACTATTTACACCAAAAAATATTTATAGGAGTTGTTTTCTCCAAATCTGTTTTTTGAAAAGTTTAGACCAGATCTTTTACATTATTATAAAGACAGAAATTCTGATCTGATCTGATGTTTGGTCATTTAACGCCGGAAGCACTCTTAGTTTGAAAACGATGTATAGAGAGTACTAGAGCAGTAAATGTTTAGTTTAATTGACGTTTGTTTATGCTGCAAAATATTTAAAGGTGATCTACAGTCCGTATGTAAACAAAGCCTTTGTTTACATTTTTGTGTCTAAAATATTAAGCTTTATTCGACAACTATTTATATTTTCAAGCTTCTAGAGTATAATAAATTATCAAGAAACAACAATCAGGCCTTTCAAGAACTCAAAACATAGTTAAACTGTTTGTATCATAAAAAGTGGGCTCATTTGTGCACATGCGCAGATCGGACTGTAGATCACCTTTAAAGTGTCAAAGTATAATATTAAAGAATTATTGAATAAAGTACACGGCATTAAACGATTAGGTTGTTGCAACACTGATAAAAACAGAATGAAAGCAACGTGACAATGTTATAACATTAAATTTCAATTAAATATATTTTTCAATACCATCTTTCATATAATACTCACTTCTCTGGGAGCCTCTTCCGGAGTGGATGTTCTTTTTTGCTGCAAAATGTATTTACAGTACAGTAATTAAATTTTAAATGGAAGATTATTCTTTAACTAATATTATTTTGGAATTGATGAAAAGTGTAGTAAATTAAAGTCAGAGTCAATTAGGTAAGAAATTATTTTGTATAACATTTTCAATATCATCTTTCATAATACTCACTTCTCTGGGAGCCTCTTCCGGAGTGGATGTTCTTTTTTGCTGCAAAATGTATTTACAGTACAGTAATTAAATTTTAAATGAAAGATTATTCATTAAGTAGTCTTATTTTGAAATTGATGAAAACAGTGGCGTAACTACTATGGGCTCAGACCGGGAGAACCCGGGGGCCCCCAACCCCAATGGGGGCCCCCAGGCTTAGGCGATAGAGCAAAAACATTGGCCAGGGCCTCTGATATGTTACAATGTCGTTTTCTGACCATCAGAATTCTGTAAAATCTCTCCCCAAAGTCCAGGAAATGGTATTTTAGAGAGTCTAGATTCAAAAATTTTCCGGGTGAGCATGCCTGGACCCCCTAGAAAACTCGTGCATATACGGCGCTCGACTCGTGCCTTTGGCACTTCTTCTAGGGGGCCTTCGAAAATTTTGAACCGGGGGCCCCCTGATATAACGTTACGCCACTGGATGAAAAGTGTAGTAAATTAAAGTCAGAGTCAATTAAGTAACAAATTATTTCGTCGGTACCGGTGACCAAAGTCAAGTCGATAGGGTTGCTGTACATTAAATTTCAATTAAATAATTCTATACTTACGTCTTTCACTTTTCAGTACACTTACTTTTTTGTGCCTCTTTCCAAGCGGGGAGGTTTGTTTTGGCTGCAATATAAATACAATTACTAAATTTTATGTAATCTCTTATTTATTAAATATAATTCTATTTTAATGATCGACGTTTTTTCTGGTCTTCATTTGAAAGATCTGATTTCCTGACCGCAAAATATTTACAGTGAATTATAAGTTTTCCATTAGAAATTCTGTTTAATTGACGAACTATATATTTTAAGCGAGTAAAAAATCATCACTAAATCACGAAGAAAATTTAAAAGAAATTAATCTTTAATTATGGTTTACATTTCGGTATCCAAAATAATGAATTTTATTCGACAACTATTTATATTTTCATGATTCCAGAGTATAATAAATTATCAAGACACAGCAATCAAGCTTTGCAAGAACATAAATTAATGAAATAAAAAAACTTTGTGCACATGCGCAGGTCGGACTGTACCGCATCTTTAAGATTAATGGCAAAAGTATACACGCCCTTTCGATATTTTCCATATCTTCATCAGTGAAGATATCGATCACGTGACTTTTAGTATTTATACAATTTTTGCTTGGGTTGGGACTATATAATAAACAAAACATTACACGGTGGCTTGAAGATATGATAGTAAGCAATTCCAGCTTTTAGTTTATGCGTACAGGGGACGCGATGGGAAGTAAGATATCACATTGGTGATTATATTGAAAAAATAAAAATGGTAGCCGTGTAAACACGGAATGATAGCTTATACTTGTAAATATTGAAATGTTTCGGTAGTTTTTATTGAAGTTTTTCAGCATAATCAGCAATATGATACCTTAGTTCCCATCATCCTCTGCAGACATAAATTAAAAGCTGGAATTGCCTATTAAGGTTGTCCAAGAGCAAAGCGGAAAAGTCGAATACCAGCGCGAAAGGCTGCTGGGAATCGCTAACAAATTAATGAATTTTCAAAGCGATTTCCAGCAGCCTTTCGCGCTCGTATTAGACTTTTCCGCTTTGCTCTTGGACAACCTTAATTGAAATAGCTGTATAATACTTACTCGTTTTTGGCCCAGTTTTCCCGCCAGTTTTTGCTGCAAAAATATACAATCAGACTTTAAATGTCAAATAATTGTATTTAAGTTTCTAGGTATAAACTTTTATTAATCTTTTTAGGTACGTATCAACCATTGATTAAATAAAATAGTATTATTTTGAAAATGAAATAGCTATACAGAGGGAAGATATTTCAGTTTTGTCTATGGAATCGCCGTCACTACATGTATGAATACTGACACGTATATCGCGGCATAGTCGTAGCCCTATTAGTACTAGATTATTTTATATATTGAAGATCTTGAACTATTAATATCACTTTAATTCAAGTTAGCAGTATGCTTTCGTCGTCTTTTATGCAGTAATACTCTCGTGTGAGCGGGAAACTTGTAAATTAACGACTTGTATAAATGCAACTGCAAAGGTTGTTTTTACGTGATTCCAACAAATGATATAACTTACATTTTCCATAAAGTCCGCATAGGCCAAAACTACTTTTTGAAGATCCTCCTTATGGAGGACCCTTTTGTGGCCACGTTTCTCTCCACCTAAACGATATTGAAATTTAGAATTAATGTATAGAATGTATTATTTATTTATTTATTTATTTATTTATTTATTTATTTATTTATTTATTTACTAGCTTTATGGGTTTTTGTTTGGTAGCCCAACCGTGGACATACAAAAAAATTGGCGGCCCATCGAAGCTGCCCAAAGTTTTTCCATGGCCCATCCCAAATCACTCCAGCCCACCCAAGCACTTACTTTATGACCGGTCCATAAGTTACCTGTTCGCGCCGATGGCGAGCAAAATGGCACATCCATCGGCCAAAAATCCGGCCGGCCGCCCTTCCAATGCCTATAAGGCTTCTTACCCTCAGTTTCTACAAAAAAGATGCATGGCTTGTAATTTAAAAACCATTTCCAAGTTCATGAGAAAGCTAGGATAATTAAAGTTTAAAAAAGTACCAGAATGAAGAAGAATTAAAGGAATACAGAATGGTTTTCCGTGCAGGATTGCGTGATCCATGCACGAGGGATATCGCGAGACTTTCGGAAAGCGTAAAAATACTCGAGCCGCAAGCTAGTTTAGTTTCACGCTTTCCGAAAGTCGAGCGGCATCCCAAGTACATGGATCACGCTATCCTGCTTGGAAAACCATTTGGTAATTGTTTTATAAAATAACTACAGTGAAACAATGACATTTTGAGAATCCCGCGAAAATCCCGCGAAGGCACTTTAAGAGACAATGTCCACTAAAACCGAGCAAAATCGAGAATACGTGGCACATGAGGAAAAATAAAAAATCTTCTTATTTTTTCCAGTGATACTCTAATGTGTACTCAGAAACGTGGTGGGGTTTGTTTTCTGAAATATTATTTTAAAC